ATTATTAAAAGAGAAAAATAAATTTGATTTTAAAACAATTAAAAATGTTGGGTCTCTCTAAGCCTGATATCCAATTGACTGCACAATTGCACGCCTTTATACATGTCGTATAAATAGTTATTAATTTATGTACAAATAGTGTGAAGGATATATTCATTGTAGAAAATATATTCAATACAATATTATTTATATTAATGATATTAAGTGACAGAATTTCACTAAATTCTCGGTACAATAAATATTAATATTAATAAAACGAGTTAAATCTTTATATGAATTTTATATGCCGTACTTGGACGCAAATAAAAATGATCTGCCTTAATTGTCTTTCAAAATTAAATCATAAATATTGTTATATGTAAAATATTAATATACTTAATTAATATACTGTATTTGGCTCACGTTAATATGGTACACTTGTGATTAAACTAATAATCGAGATAAATTAATCATGATAGTGCCACTTTAAAAATTTTGATTTTGAAAACATGTTTATGTGTTTCCATGAAATGTTTACTTAAAATTTCCATAAACTTATAAATTGCCTTTAGTTTGCAATTGACTAATTATTAACTTGAATATATACATCATACATTATATACATAAACTGTAATTACTTGTTTACTAATTTGAAAACCTAATTATTAAGCTACTGTTTTAAGTTGCATAAAATGATCATCTATAAAAATAAAATTTGCAATAAATTTATATTATGTGCAATATTCATATATTGCTATTCATGTGAATGCAATGCAATTATATCACCACAAAGTATGGACCAAAATGTGTTGGCTCACGACAAGTATTCCCGTGTCATCAGGGCTACCAACTCAACGAGAAATAGTTATAGAAATAAGATACTAATAATTACCAGTATCCTGGTAAGTCGTGACAAATTAGCAAAATATTTACTAATTATTATTCTATGTTAACCGAAAATGCATTAGTTTTAAAACAATTGAAACAAATCATTTGCTTAAAGTAATTTGCATAAAACAAATACAATAATATAATCCAAAAATGATATCAAATTAAATACAATACCGTGCGATAGAGCGAACCGTATTTGATGGAGAAGTCGTGGGCACCGGGAGGCATACCGACTGGGAATGACCGATACGAGGGTTATTGCAAGGACTTGGCCGACAGGTTGGCCCACATACTCGGCTTCCGGTACGAGCTACGGCTCGTGAATGACTCCAAATACGGCCAAATGGATAAGCATGGCGTTTGGGACGGTATGATTGGCGAGCTCGTCAGACGTGTAGGTGCCCCCTATCGCCTAGTTACTTTATGTAACCTTAATTATTATTTGAATAGGAAGTGGACATTGCGATCGCGCCATTGACTATAACCTCACGCCGTAAAGGGGATGTCGACTTTACCCATGCGTTCATGTCTGTAGGCATATCTATACTCATGAAAAAGCCGGCGCTTATTAGTAGACCCGGAATATTCTCATTCATGTATCCATTGAGTCGCGAGACTTGGGTTTACATACTGTTGTCATATATCGGTGTTTGGGTAACACTGGCACTGGTTTCCCGATTATCTCGTATCCGACATCGAAAAAGAGACACGAATTGTAAACAGTATCATAATAATTGTGACAGGTATTTGAAATTATTGTTAAGTATATAATTTTTTTGGGTAATGTAATTTAATATAATATAAATTTGCAGCTCAATGTCATTCAGTATTGTATGGACTGTTTGTGGGTTCTTCACGTTAATTGTAATGTAAAAGTTTTCTATGAAAACATTTTTCATTTTTAAAACATATTTACAGCATAATTAATGAAATTCATTTTAATTACAGGTATTAGCCGTGTATACAGCAAGCTTGGTCATTTTTCTAATGTGTAGACCTACGCTTATACCAATCAATTCAGTCGATGCTCTTAGCCAACAGACTGATATGGAATACGGGTTCATATTTTATTACTGAATATATTAATAATATTTATGGTTATATAACAAATATTTAATATTAAAAATTATTTTACCTAGATTACTATCAGGTTCATCCACGCAAGCATTCTTTCAGGTATTTGTTAAGAACATGGCTAACATTTCCTATTCATATAATACTTTCAATGGCTAAATGAATATGTTTAATATGATAAATTTTTATTTTTAATCAATTTCAACGGTATTTCCAGTATTTAATGTCTAATGTGGCTAGATGATAGATTAAAATATAAGCTACAATATTTTCATATGATATTGTTTATTATTTTTAACCATGATTAGAACTCACGTTTACCAACATATAAGAAAATGTGGGAATACATGAGAGCTAACCCACAGGTGTTTGTCAATGACTACGGGGAGGGTATCCGACGGGCCAGGGAGTCAAATGGCAAATATGCCTTTTTAATGGGTTGGAGTATAATTTTTAATTCTCAAATTATAATCTATTATATAAACATAATACTTATATTATCCTGGTCTAACCAGAGTCCCCATCACTTGACTACATTAACCAACGTTTGCCGTGCGATACCATGAAAGTGGGCCACAATTTAGGTCAGTATTATATCCGTGTATTTAAAAAATTTTAAACACATTTTAATTGTAACTATATTTAGACGAGAAAGGCTACGGTATCGCCACTCAAAAGGACAGTCCGTATTGGTATGTAGTGGCATAATTGTTGTGCCAGGGTAGATTTTATAAATTATATTTGAAATTACGCTTTACTACCAGTACTCTACTGGAAGACGCTATCATTAAACTACAGGAGGACGGAGTGTTGGCTCATTTACGGCACAAGTGGTGGTCAGACAGAAGTGAATGCGGCCCCAAAATGATCATGGTAAGCTCAATAATTAAACCTGTCAAAGTTGCTTAAAGATTTACAAGCAAATTCGTTTGCGGTTACTTTTAGGATACAGTTAACAATGAATTGTCTGTATGGGAGTTATCAGGGTGCTTTTATGCACTCATTGGTGGATTATTGTTGGCTTTATTTGTGGCCGTAATTGAGTTTTTTGTCGTAAGCTATAAACAGGCTATAAGTTCAAAGGTAATTAATTAATGATCTCTGCAACTCTAACAATCATTAAAATTTTTAATATTTTACCTTGATACTAATCTCTCTCTCTCTCTCTCTCTCTCTCTCTCTCTCAGACCGGTATATACGGTGTATTGAAAGCCAATATTCGTGTTGTGATCACCGGATCGACGGATAATTGTGTTGAGTGTTAGCCAATAGACAAAATTTGAATTTCAAACCCAATACTAATCATTTGAGTTTTGAAATCATTTTACAAAACATGTTTTGTGTAATTGACAAACACAGAATTTATGTTTTAAAAATAAATATCAATGATAGTGTTTTACCTGTATATTTATCATAATCCTAACTAAAAATTAGTAATAAAATAAAAAGTATAAAGTAAAGTACAATATTATAAAAATATGAATTGTATGAATAATATCAATGCGTTTACTCGTCATAGTATAATACCGATAATAAATTAGAAAATATTATTTTTAAATTAAACATAATTCAGAAATTATTTATTTTTAATAAAATGTCTGTTATTTTAAACAAAGACATATTGGTATTAATTTTGAATAAACTGAATGTCAATCAATTGTGTCGATTGGAGAGAGTTTCGCAACAATTCATGGATTGTGTGGGAAGTGCTCTCCAGAGGAGTAAAGCACTTACCATTGGATCCATTGATCCAAACATTATCTGCAAAGACTACAAACACTCACTAATCAATGCAAATATCACTCAATTGGGTATCAATTGTGAGTCTATAGTGAAGAGATGTCCAAACATAGAGTCCTTGTATTTGAATGAATGTCTTCAGGACTTCAGTGGTTTGCAAACAATTGTCACGAATTGTCCGAAACTCAAGTGTCTCACGATTGCCGACACAAACCCCATAGCCTTATATACTGAAGAGGAATGGCTTCAAATGGCTCAACAGTTGGCAACTATAGGGTTAACACACCTAACGATCGGTAATATAGAGGTAATTCCCATTGATTGGCTCAATGATAACAAACTCATTAATTGGTCACTATATTTGGTGACAAAATGTTTTCAATCGCTTCAAAAGCTAACACTTTATAAGTTTAACAAATCATTGACTGCTTTATTCAAACGTTTGCCACAAAATATCACATCAATTGAAATGCATGATTGCAAAGGACTCGGCATTCAAGCATTTAATACTTTAATAGCATTTAACATGGATCACTTGCAAAATATTCATATTGTGTCCCGCAAACAGTCTACAGATATTTGCGATTACATATTAACCACAATCTGTGATCAGATAAGTCTTAAGAAGTTTACATTTATTAGCGATTCTGTGTCCATGAATGTCATCAATACAGTTGTCAACCAGAATTCAATGAATAATTTGAATATTTCACTTGATTATGAGATTAATTATACGAACTTTGATTGGTATTTAATGCAACATTGTTGGTCACTAAAATTGAACCGGCTATGTGCCACTAAAATACAAAACAAATTACACTAAAATTGCCCCCAAAAAAATTGTTTCGCTAATTATGTTAACTAATAATTTAATTTTCAATTCAATATAAATTCAGTATTAATAAAACATGAGTTTATTTTTGTTTCTGTTATATATAAATACATAATTATTTTCGCACATTTATCGTTTGTAAATACAGTGTCTGTATTAATGAAGTAAATTCGCATTTCATACGCGATATAAGATTTAAAACACTTATAATTGATTAAAAACTAACTAATGAACACATTTTGGTAATGTTTTAACACGAAATTCTTGACCACAATTCATATAATACTAAATAACTATCAAATTATGTATTTATAATTACAATACTGTGTAACAAACGTTTAAATAAACCTCATTATATAAACACCTATTGTGTACCCAAAAATTCATTAATATATTTATATATAAAATTGTATAAATAATAAGCGATAAAATATACGCCATACATATTTTATAACAATATAATAATCCTAACTAAAGTATTACAGTAAAAATAACTTATAATTATAGCTAAACTTATATAAAAAACCACAAATACTAACCTCAAAAATAGCCAGTAAATAGTGTTGAATATAATATCGATATATAAATATAATTAATTTAAATAAGCACTTTCAACTATACATTTACGTAATGTTATAAATTAATTCAAATAATCGCATAAATTGTAAGCTAAGTACCGGTCGGCTGAAAACACTATTTACTGGCTATTTTTGAGGTTAGTATTTGTGGTTTTTTATATAAGTTTAGCTATAATTATAAGTTATTTTTACTGTAATACTTT